CGGCCCCCGCCCCCCCCGAGCGGCGGTGCCGGGCGGGGTGCCCGCTGCCCGCCGTCGCCCTCCCTCAGGCCTGGCGGCGGCAGCTTCCCCCTGCCGGGGCGCCGAGGCCCGGCTTCCCGCTGTTAAACCGCATCCCTAACCCCTACCAGCGTCGCTGAGGGAAAAGCCACCTCGGCCTTGTCCCTGAAGTCTTGTGAAGCGGCTTTTTCCACTGGGCTGGCTTCGAGGTCGCGGGGTGCTGTGGGTGCGCCTCAGAGGGACATGGCGGCCTGGGCTCAAGGGGGCAGGAGAAACGCTTTTGGGGCCCCCGAGGCGGCAGCGGGGTCACAGCGATGGCGTGACTGGGGCAGAGGCCTGGGCCGCAGCCCTTGCAGGAGGGCTGCCGAGCTGTCGCTGTGCCAGGGGCTCCAGCTCTGCGTGGCGGAAGGCTGGGGTGTGTGCGCAGGCCCCTAAAACCGCCTGGCAATGCAGGGGAGCTTGCACGGCAGAGAGTTGGCAGCCACAGCCAAATTTTCCGGCCCGAGTTTCTGACGGCGCTCAGCAGCTGCCAGTGCTGGCCAAATGCTTCGGTGAGGCGGGAGGGAAACAGCTCTTGCAACAACTCTAATTATTACATGCTCTGCTGCAGAAAAACATTGGGTTTTTTCCTTTCTTGATGCTAAAAACCAGTTCCAGCCACATGGCATTTCTTATAAAGAAACTATCGGTGTTAACAACAATGTTAGTGCCCCGAGTTTGCCCAACTTAAAACTGCCAGTACTAGAGCATTAGTTGGTTTCAGGGCACTGGCTGTTGCATTTACATACTTGGTTGATTTGGTGTTTAAATAATACACATATTTATGTGTTCAGCTGTCTTGCTAGCCTCTCAGTAGCTGAGCTTGATTTAAGTGATTATAATGTACAATTTATGTACAACTAATATTTAACTGAGTTTAACATAAAGTGACATTAAGTCAACATGAAGTCCTACATTTCAAGGTCTCACTGGCACCTGACACCAATCTGACTTCTCCTGTCTCAAACAATAAGTTTTCAACTTTACAGTTGGCAACAAACATTCATTTCTCAGTCAAGTCTGCAAAGTGCTTTTAGCTGCTACAGTAGACCTTTTGTTAAAGGAAATATTGGTGAAGCTACAGTACAAGAGTTTAAATGTCTAGTGACAAAACAGAGGTGCGCTAGGAGACCTCTGGTCCCAGCATACTCCGAGTTAAGTTCAGAGGAAAGGTGAATCCAAACCTGTCATCCTCATCAAACCAGAACCTCCAAGGTTTTCCTGGCCTTTCCCAGAACAGGTACGTTGTCCGCTGTTTGGGCTAAGCTCTCTTCATTTTCCAGCACTTCTTGGCAATGCCAGAAAGACAGAGCCAGAGAGCCCGTAGGTATGTAAGTGGCAGCAAGAAGTCATTGAACAAACTGGATTTGAGTGTCAATAATAAGACTTTATTTCACGTACTCTCTTCAGTAATTTAAGACATCCTGTGTTGTCCAGTGTACCCCCTAATTCAGTGAACTATTTCATTTGCTGGTATGCTCATGCAGATTTACATTGGAAGTGTTTTCAGTAGGCTGAAACCAGTCCTGTAGCTAAGGAAAGAGAGATCAAAAACCTTTTCACTATTTTCATTAATTTTACTTTGCCACTATCAGCAAACGTAAAGACAATGAAATAGAGTTTCCGTGGGTTTAGGTTGCTGCTCAGTGGAAAATTTTCATCAGTTTTGGTACATCTTTTTCTTGCAGTGGTGGTTTCCTCTGGCTGCCAGGCTGCAGGAATTTCTTTATTGTGGGGATATTGCTTATTCTTGCTTTAAAACTCTACAAAACAAAACCAAAACAGGGCTGTGCTTAAGAACTATGGTAACTGTCAGTCACTTAGATGTTATCCGTGCTCTAAAAGTAACATTATGGGTTGATCCTGCAGAAGAATCTATACGCTTCATCCTATTATGCTTTTGTGGCTATAGTGACAGAAGGCAGCAATAACCATCAGTGTTTGAGGCGGGCTAAAAGTACTTAGGATATTTGATTTTGATTTTGTCTTTGCTTTCTTTCCTCACCCTCCCACTCTCCCATATTTCTCAGACAGTTTAAATTAGTGACCTTGTTTTGATTCATTGTCCATTAAAACTGTCCATTCGGTTACCTGCAAGAGAGGAAATTTGGCAAGTATATCAGGCTTGCACTCTTCTGCCATTAAAAGGGTTTCAAGCAATTGCACATCTGCCCTGCTAAACCGGTTGCCGACAAGAAAGTCTTGTCCATGGTCCTTCAAAACCTAAAAACAGAGAACCAGAAGCAGATGTAATTTTTTTTTTTTTGTCTGTGTGACTTAATATGATATCTTCAAAGCACGGTCATACACTGCATGGAGTTATCCTTGAAAGAAGGAAATGCAGTAAGAACATCTGTAGTACAAAGGAATGATCTGACCACACTGTCATCCTAGGCATAGTTTATCAGTCCTTTCTCTTCTGCATTTCTTTCTGGCAGCTCAGTTGTACCCCTCTTCTCTTCACTTCCGTAGCTCATGTAATCAGCGCTGCCGTGTTGAAGGCGAAGCTTTATGGGGTGCAACCATCACTGCAAATGCCCATACAAAATTTACAAGAGGCTTAAGTTCAGCCCAGGACATGCAGAGTAAGAGTATCTTGGACTCTCAAATTATGGGCAGCTCCCTTACTTCTCACCTGTTTCCTCTTCAATTTTGGGAATATTTTGTTGGGAGTTCTCTGCGTGTAACCTGTGCCTCATGGTCTTGACACCCAGCTAATCCATCCTCCCTTTTGTTACAGAAGGAGCTGTAATACTTTTGCATAGCATATATAGTAGAGGGGGTTCTGCACTTCAGGAGGAAACTTTATGTAAAAGCTGATGCTATAGTGTCTTTTGCCTGAGACATCATACAGACTGAAACATGGGCATCTGGGGAGCTCCGTGTATCCTGGGTTTTTGCAGCTCTGCATCGCTCCCAGATTTGTAGTGCCTTCTGTCCCCTCCGTAGTGTCCTGTCTCCATCCTCATCCCAGCCCCGCCAAAACCATAGCATTTATATTTAAGTGGTAATTTTTCTTCTCTGTTTCCCTCTATAAAAATTGCCTTTGTAGATCCAGGATGGAGTTTCAGGAAAACAATATTAATTACGCTACTACATCTTTGCCACGTACCTTCTCATAGACTGGGAAGTATCTGTTCGTGGCCTTGTCCACAATAGTAGCAAAGTGTTGCTCCTTTTTATCCGCTGGTTGGAAAGTATGGGTCATGAGTAACTCATTCAGGTCTATTATTGCTTCCACATACATATCAATTCTGAAAGGAATAGATCCAGTAGGTCAGGTCAAACGCAGTAGGTCTGAATAGCACGATAGCTACTGGCATAACCCCACTGAGATGCTGGGAACTCTCTGCCTCTTCTACCCAGCATGCATAGCTTGG